TCGCCTTGGTCTTTATGCAACTTTGTTAATGTTATATTGATCTACTGTTTCAGTCAAGATCATTTTTTTTATTGTACGGTGTATAGTAAAGGATTTGACTCAATCTATTAATCAATTACCATTGATTCTTTTGCAGTTATATATACTTTTTTATTGATTTGTTCTCTGGGAATCCTATGTTATGCTCTCTTTGTTTATTGTCGAAATAAATATATATATATATATATCCAAAAATATTGGCATCCCTGCATTTCTATCAGATAATGTACCACTTTGCGCAGAAAATTGTTGCAATTACAAATGTTTATGCATTCTCATGTTTATTTCTTCTGTTTGTATTGGTATGACACAAAAAAAGTTGAGAAAAAAAAAGCCAAATCTGACACATTCCACACAAAACTCCAAAACTGGACTAGACAAAATTATTGGCACCTTCTTCAAATTGCAAGAAACAATTGCATTCCAAGTTTTTGGGGAAAAGCATGGACAATCTCAAGGTTACAAGTCCATCTCCAGAGATCTTAATGTTCCTGTGTCCACTGCGCGCAACATTGTCAAGACGTTTACAGCCCATGGTAGCTAATCTCGCTGGACATGGACAAAAGAGAACAATTGATCAAAGATTGCAATAAAGGATTGTTCAAATGGGGGATAAAGACCCTCGATCAACTTCCAGACAAATTCAAGCTGACCTTCAGGCACAGGGTACAACTGTGTCAGCTTGCACTATACGTTGCCATCTGAATAAAAAGGGAGGCTATGGTAGGAGACCCTTGAGGACCCCACTGCTGACACAGAATCATAAAAATGCCAGATTGGAGTTTGCCGTAACTTACCTGAGGAAGCCAAAATCCTTTTGGGGAAAATGTGCTGTGGACAGACGAAACAAAATTACAGCTTTTTGGTAAAGCCCATCATTCTACTGTTTTCAGAAAAAGAAATGAGGCCTTTAAAAAAAAAATACAGTCCCTAAAGTCAAACGTGGTGGAGGTTCACTGATGTTTTGGGGTTGCTTTGCTGCTTCAGGCACTGGATGTCTTGACTGTGTGCATGGCATTATAAAATCTGAAGCCTACCAAAGAATGCTGGGGTGCAATGTAGGGCCCAGTGTCAGAAAGTTGGGTCTCCGTCAGAGGTCATGGGTCTTACAGCAGGACAATGAACCAAAGCACACGTCAAAAAGCACCCAGAAATGGTTTCAGACAAAGCGCTGGAGAGTACTGGACTGGCCAGCAAAGAGTCCAGATTTGAATCCCATAGAGCACCTGTGGAGTGATCTCAAAACAGCAGTTGGGAAAAGGAACCCTTCCAATATGAGAGACCTGGAGCAGTTGGTGAAAGAAGAGTGGTCCACAATTCCTGTAGAGATGTGTAAGAAACTCATTGATGGTTACAGGAAGCGATTGATTTTATTTATTTTTTCCAAAGGCTGTGCTACCAAATATTAATTGAGGGTGCCAATAATTTTGTCCAGTCCATTTTTGGAGTTTTGCGTGGAATGTGTCAGGTTTGGCTTTTTTTTCTACTTTTTTTGTGTCATACCAATACAAACAAAAGAAATAAACATGAGAATGCCTAAACATTTGTAATTGCAATAATTTTCTGCGCAAAGTGGTGCATTACCTGACAGAAATGCAGGGGTGCCAATGTTTTTGGCCATGACTATATATATTTATATTTATATACTGTATCTGTGTATGTATATTTCAAAACAGGTGTCAAACAACTCAGGTGTAAAATTAGGCATGACTAAAATAAAATTACAGAAAAATCATTATTTTTCTTTTAAATTAGATTGTTCTTTGACTTTAACAGAATCATGAAATATTGTAAAAGATACTGCTGCACTGTTGAATTGTAATGTTAATGTGGTTGACTTTTAAATGAGTCTTAAACCCGGAATGCAAGAGTAGATTAGGTGAATCACCAGTGAAACAAATGATTAAATATTTGCTTATTTCAGCTTCCATTTAATTTCTAGTCTTTATGATTGAAAATGCATCAATTAACGGTATTTGTTTAATTACATGTGAAATACACTGCTTTTTTTTAACATTTTAAAATTGCACATTCAGAAATTTGATGTGACCTGGAAAAAGGTAACCTAAAGGCAGGGAAATCACATATTTGAAAAACAAATATATGTTAATGTATAACATTTCTAACTGTTTTAAAATTGGGGTAAAGAATATGCTGTGTTCTCATAACACCAATTAAAAGTTCAGAATTGTCTTCGATAAGTCTTGCTAAACCCATCTTTTCAAATTAATTAAAGCTAAATCTTGAAAATGCATTAAGTACCTTAACCACCTCCTGTCCGCCGAACGTTCACAAACAGCCGGAAGGGAGTCTTCTGGATGCAGGTGGGCGTCTTTAGATGTCCTCCGTACCCGTGCCCGCTCGCATGCACCCCCCGACACGCACGAGCGGGAAACCACCTGAATTTTAAACCGCCAGCGATGGCTGTTTACATACAAGAGGTCCGGCATCTATAAAGACGCCCGATCACTTGTATGCTGCATGTCTCTGTGTGCCCCCCCCTTACCTCTCCTCGAGGTCGCCATCCCTGCTGCCGACGTCCCCACGATCTTGGGTGTCCGATCCGGGATGGGGACGTGGCTCCGTGCACTGAGAACGGAGGAAGATCAGTACATGATCTGCCTCCGCTCTCCTCCCCGGTCTCTGAATGCAGGAAGTGATGTTTACTACATCACTTCCACATTCCTCTGTCACTCTCCGGTACAGAAACCGGAGAGAAGCTGATGAAGCATAACTGTGCTTCATCAGCTTCTCTGGGGGTCCCTAGGTGACATTAGGGGTCTTAGGGACCCCTGATGTCTCCATAAAGGGGACCTGTCACTGTAATTTCATATCACATAGGGGGATTCTTATACCCCTGTGTGATCACAATAATATTAAGTGTAAAAAATAAATGGTCACAAAATAAATAAAATTTACACACACACACAAAAAAACCCACAATTTTTTTTAAAGTCCCCCACCCTCACATAGATGCTCAAAAATGCGCCTACACGCAAAAACGACGATTGCGCCAATTACGCAGCACTTGTTACATATCTCCACGAATGTCGCAGTGAGAGCAATAATTCTAGGGCCATCAAACTTAAAAATCTTTTAAAGCGTCGCCTATGGCCAATTTTGGGTATGGTAGTTTTTGCGATTTCGCAGGCGCGCTGAATTTTAAGGCTTCACATGTTTGGTGTCTATTTACCCGACGTGACCCCTTCTTTTATATTGTACCAAAAAATTGGGTAATAATAAATGTTTCCTAACATAATAAAGGAAAACAGGTCTGTTTTTTTATTTTCTCCACTTTTTTCGTTGTATAGTAAAAAATAAACCCCCCCAGTGGTGATTAAATACCACCAAAAGAAAGCTCAATCTGTCCCTAAAAAATAGTATAAAATGCATTTCAGTACAGCGTTGCATGACGGAATAAATGTCAGCCAAAGTACCGCAGCACTGAACACTGAAAAATGTCCTGCACAGGAAGGGGGTGTAAACACCACAGTTTGCAAGTGGTTAACTATTAACAAACATGTATATTTTTTGGCTACTTTTGCTCCCCATTGTCCCTGTGTGTATTGTAAAGTAGTCACCACTCCAAGCTTGCTCCAGGGATGGACTATAATCTTACATAGTTTACTAATTTGCATTGAAATTGTAGTCCATTACGGAAGCAAGCTTGGAGGAAGGACAGTGTCAGCATGAATTCAGAGATGATTTGAGGATCTACAGCCAAGTGATACACAAATAAGCTAAATTTTTTCTAATAGTTAGGGTACTTGAATGCTTGTTTAAGATTGAACTCCTGACTTAAGTGTTAGTTAAATGTTTAGCTGTACCACATGGAGCATTACCATATATAACTGATTTGTGATGGCAATTGACTTCTTTCTGAAGCATATACAAAATTATAAAGGTAATAGGCCATGTTAAATGCATTATATATTGTCTACATTGTATTTTTTTAAAGCACCCTGCTTATTTTGAATGTATAATTAAGGAAACATATTTTGCTCTATAATGTACTAGTAAGAGGAAACACTGATGCAAATAAACAAAAATGTAACATATATAAAAATCTTCCTTATGTTTTTTAGGGTTGCACAGATACCAAGTACAGTACTCGGTACAAGTACGAGTACATGTACCGATACTTTTGAGCTCCAAGACTACACTACGATTTTGTTTTTATAAATAGAAATAATGGGATGCACAGATACCAGTTTTGCGAGTATGAGTACTGGTACTTGCCGAGTACTTACAAGTACGAGTACTGATACATTTTTGTTTATTGTCATGTGACAGTTTTTCTAAAACAATACAGATTAATGATTTCAGGACAGTGGTGGAGCACCAGAGCCAGGTCCCAGCTGCAACCGCTGCAACCCTGGTAGTTCTCATGAAAATGCCAAGTATCTGCACTGGTACTCGAAAAGTATCTGAGCTTCCCTAGTTTTTATTGATATTTAACAGAAAAAAATCAATTTGTATGGTTGTCTAACTGAAAAGACAAGTTTATTTTAATGTCTGGTCAAAGAGAGGCATCTGTGTATCCCTTAAGTTAGACTGACACAGGCCTTTTATTTTACTATAGCAGAACTTGAAATTCAGCAAATGTTTCAGTTTGGATCTTGGTCTACTCATTCATACATTGTCAAATATGTTAACTTACTTTACAAGTGTCTTTGAAAAGGTGAATTTTGAACATCACTCCTATCAGAGAACAAAAATAAAATAAAAAGCTGGAATCAAAACAGTAAGGGTAAAATTCAAAATTCTTGTTCTTACGAAGTCATGGAGACTCTCAATTAAATTAATAACAGAGTGAATCACAGGAAATTGGATGATATGCTAAATTTGTTGTCTAGAGGTCAGGCTGGAATGTAAAGCAATAAATATTCTAGGATGTTACACTATTCATATCTTGTTGGGAGTATAGCTTATAACTCTTTGCTGTTCTTTCTTCTTTCAAGGTCATGGATTATATGGAACATTTGAAATGCTCTCATCTTGGAGGAAGACTAGAGAAGACCAACATGTTAAAGAAAGGACAGCAGTTGTGTATGCAGACACCATGATTTCCTTCTCTCTCACCACTGCCATGTATCTTGTTACCTTTGGGATTGGGGCCAGTCCCTTCACGAACATCGAAGCTGCAAGGATATTTTGCCGCAATTCATGTATAGCAATCTTCTTCAACTACCTCTACGTACTATCATTCTATGGCTCTAGCCTTGTGTTTACTGGGTACATTGAAAACAATTACCAGCATAGTATTTTTTGCAGGAAGGTTCCAAAGCCCGAAATTCTACAGGTGAAATCGTTGTGGTACAGGTTTCTTATGACTGCAAGATTTAGTGAAGACACAACAGACTCCCAAGAATCAAGCTCTTATGAAAGTCACCTTTTGGTTTGCTTCCTTAGACGATATTACTGTGACTGGATAACAAATACATATGTAAAACCTTTTGTAGTTCTCTTTTACCTTGTTTATATTTCCTTTGCCTTAATGGGCTACCTGCAGGTCAATGAAGGGTCTGACCTGAGTAACATAGTTGCAACTGAGACACGAACCATAACATATACCGCAATCCAGCAAAAGTATTTCAGTAACTACAGCCCGGTCATTGGCTTCTACATCTATGAATCAATTGAGTACTGGAATACAAGTGTTCAGGAGGATGTTCTAGAATACACAAAAGGATTTGTAAGAATATCATGGTTTGAGAGCTACTTAAACTATCTCAGAAAACTTAATATATCTACTGGTTTACCCAAAAAGAACTTCACTGACATATTGAGATACTCTTTTCTGAAAAACCCACGGTATTCACATTTTTCTGAAGACATCATCATACCCAAGAAATACAACAATGAAGTAGATGTTGTGGCCTCTAGGATGTTTCTGATTGCAAAGACAATGGAAACAAACAGGGAAGAACTCTATGATCTCCTTGAAACTTTAAGGAAACTTTCTCTTACGTCCAAAGTAAAGTTCATTGTCTTTAATCCATCCTTTGTCTACATGGACCGATATGCTTCTTCAATTGGAGCTCCTTTACAAAACTCCTGCATAAGTGCTTTGTTCCTGCTGTTTTTCTCATCGTTTCTTGTTGCCAGCTCTATCATCAATGTTTGGATAACCCTAACCGTGGCCTCTGTAGAGTTTGGAGTAATTGGCTTCATGACATTATGGAAAGTTGAGTTGGACTGCATATCGGTACTTTGCCTAATCTATGGGATTAACTACACTATAGACAACTGTGCACCACTAGTATCAACATTTATCTTGGGTAAAGAATTTACTAGGACTAAGTGGGTGAAAAATTCATTAGAATTGCATGGGGTAGCCATTTTACAGAGCTACCTCTGTTTCACTGTTGGTCTGATCCCTCTCGCAGCTGTGCCTTCAAATCTGACCCGTACACTGTTCAGGTGCTTGTTTTTGATAGCATTTGTCACATTATTTCACTGCTTTGCAATCTTACCAGTTATGCTGACTTTTGTTCCACCCTCAAAGAAGAAGCGGAAAGAAAAGAAAACCCAGGAAAACCATGAAGAGATAGAATGTGTTGAAATGGTGGACTTGGACAGCACCAGAGTTGTTGACCAAATTACAACTGTCTGATTTTATTTCTTTTTTTTGCATTTTTTACATTGAGTTTCACCCTAGGTCTTACTAAGAGAATGTTTTGATGGAACCTCTTTGTGAAACAAGTATCCAATACAACCCGCTCAATGGATGATCCAAAAAAAGTACCTTTAGCCTCAGTACAAAAAAAAGATAAACATAGAGCTGAATTACACTCAGTGGTTTAGGCATTGATTATATGGTGGTAGAATATTCCAAATGTTAGATAAATCTTAGGACAGTTTATTGTTTTGGTTTAAACTTTCATATGTTTAGATAAGAAACAGTGCCCACTCTCACTCACATCCAAGTCCCCCTTCACTCCCAAACAAACTCTATGTTGCTTCCTCTCTCACCCTCGTCTACTTTTCTCTCTCTTTCTCTCACACCCCGCCCTCCTCTCTTTTTTTCTCCTCCTCCAAGTACTGGGGCCAAGTTCTCCTCCAAGTTCTAAAGGAACCGGTGACCTATAGCTATCTGTTCTGTTTCAGCTATTTTCTATCAAATGGGTAATCTTACTTAATGGACAACTTAATTGCTTTACGTCAAGCCTTTTATTCTCTCTCTCTCTCTCTCTCTCTCCTCTCTCTCTCTCTCTCTCTCTCTCCTCTCTCTCTCTATAATAACATACAAGCACATATACACAGAAGTGGTTTCAATTGCTTACACCCTGTAAAACACCCCCATTTTTCCAACTCTCTGTTTTATTGTTTTATATTCTTTTGGAGTAAAGTCAATATATAGACTCAAAATGAGACTACAACATTTTCAAAGTAATTTGTATTAATTGTTTAAGCAGGAAATGCTATTTTAATGCTGCTCATAAGGCTGTTACTGTTGCTGAGTCCAAACGCCTACAAAGGTCAGCTGTTAGTTCAGTGTTCTCATACACATTACAGCATTTTTGTAGATTTATCTTGCTTTTTCCCTTTACTATATTATGCTTTTTAGGCCTTGTGTTCAAATTTTGCTTTTTTTCAAGGTGGTATATATATATATTTTTTATATGAAACAAAATATGCAGCATTGTAGTATCAGTTAAAACACATTATTAAATAAAACCTGCATTGTAGTAATATTGTACAGCACGCATATTTGTAAGTTAGGATTGTTTATGAAAAATCTTTGTAACCTAATTTATTGAAAGCAGTCAAACAATTGAGTTTTTTTATGTATTTTTCTTTACTTTTATAAAGGAATGTATCTGTGGCATTGCTAGCTACTTTAAAGGCCTGGTGACTAGTGCCAAAGCACCCACATCTCTAAACACTGAATTATCTTATGCTCTAACCTATTCTAGTCTGCATTATGAGAGATAACACAGGGCAGAAAAATTATGTCTCAGCCCCCAGTAATCTTTACCCACTTCATCAAAACTGCATTCCTGCAGGTCTATGCCATTTTCTGTAAAACCTAACAGAGAAATTGAAACAGTTTCTTAATTAAGCAATGATTATTAACTATGCTTATTATGTAAACTGACCAAATAGAAATGATGCCAAAAGAAAAAAATAATTGTTTCTTGCACACTTTTGGGCTCACCAAATCATACTTATTTTTAGAGCTCAAGTCTCATGATCTGTCAGTGATAGGTAATGCCGCATAATTCTGTCATGGTCATCCCTATTCATTTTAATTTTAAAGCCCAGTTGAAACCTCTTAATTTATTACTGCAATGCAGTCAGTAAAACTCTGTTCGGCCAGCATAGGAGAGTTGGGAAGTGGCTCTCCCACACAAGCAACGGTCCAGCTGTCCCACAGTCCAACACTCCCCATCTGAACACTGCTCTAATTGACACTGCCCCCTGAGCAGTACTGTTGGTTAGAGCAGTGTTTAGGGGCATATGCAGAGGAGCTGTGCTTCTGTGTGTGATTGGCAGCTTGTGTTTGGAAGCAGCAGTTTGACTCTCCCAGTGCTGCCAGTACAGGACTTTTAACCTTGCTGTAGCAGATAAAAATGAAAAAAGAGACATATTCATTATTGTACATGCAGTCTGACTAAAGACAGTAATACATTACGTGGGTTCAAGAGGCTTCTTAGGAGGCTCCTTCTCCATACATTCTCAATACTTTCTATGAAGAAATAAGGACATAGAATGATAACTATGAAGAAGATGACAACGAAGGCCAGTGGCTTGAGAATGACACATGACTTCCAGTTGATGGACCTTGAGCCCTGGAAGTAATAACTTTGTGCATTATAGCATACCACGTCATACCTAAAATTGAGTCTGTATGTAATATTTTAAGTGTAAGCTTCTTCTTTTTACAAATCTATATATTCCCAAGCAAAGTGTGTAGTATTCAGGGCCTGGTCCCCCAGAGACAAGCAATGCCCCAAGTTCATTATACACTTCATCATAGTGATTTTTGCATACTTGCTTAATTTTAATCACAGGCGTTTGGATCCAGAAGTACATAATAAATTATTTGTTGAATATATTTTTTAACTATTTATTTTACTTGTTTACTTATATGTGATTTACCATTTATGTTTTATACTTAATACCATGTCCAATACATTCGATTCTTTAAGTTGCATTTTATCAAACGCTTTTTTTTAAGGTCCAGAGTTAGACAAGCTCAGGGATCTTGCACAAATACCCTTGAAAAATTACGCCTTCAAAGTTTCAATATTGCAGACCTGAGAATAAAATTACTTACCTGCAATTATCGGTGTAAGATTTCACAGTTCTTGTTCACAATTAGTTCTGTTTGAATCTGCTACTATTTGGACTTTTGTTTGGGAATTCAGGACTAGAGGAAGAAGACAAGTGATAAGGAACAATGGGTACTGCTTAATGCCAAGGTCTTTCATTTGCTACAGTATAATGAGGTAGATAAGAAAGTATAGCAGAAATTGTAACATGGCTTTGGGGACGGGGGTTGGTCAAGGAGATTCCCAAAAATCGTGCAGGTCCCACCCCCCCATCCCCCGGCTGCTCAATGTACTTAAAGGACAACTTTAACTTTCATAAAGTTGTCCTTTAAGGCATTGCCCTCACCAACAGAGCACAGCTCACCTAAAAAATACTTACATTCATCCTGTTTCAAGTGATTTTTACTGTGCAACCCTGGTATGAGCTGCACAGCCTTGCTTCAGATATTGTTCAGGCCGGGTTATCTTCACCTTTGCCATGCATGCCACACAGCCCAATGTATGTCTACGGCAATCTGTACTCAAGCCTGCCTCCAGAGGTCTGGCACACTACAGATCCAACAAAATGAACTAACTGGGCCACGATACACATGCAAGGATAAGGAAGACCTGGAGAGGAAGATTTAATGAAGCAAGGCTGTGCAGCTCCAGGCATCACCGTGCAGTGAATAGTTCTGGATTTAAAACAAATTTATTATGCCAGGTGGGCTGCATCAGAGGGGGAAAGAGTTCTCTAAAGCACAACTTGTGCCAAAGGTACAGTTGTCCTTTAAATGTAGTGCCTTATGGACAATAAGCAAATTCATAAATCAGTTACAGATTGGAGATGGATATTGGGGATTTAAATGGACTAGAAAGATGCAGTATCAATCTGCCTATTTGCTATATATGATCACACATAAATTATTATTTTCAGATGGTATTAAATATGCAGCATGGGGGAATCAGGTCCTGGCAAGGTGGATAGTCTGCAACTCTAAGACATAATAATAAACATTCATAATAAATGTACATAAATATATTGTTTTTTTGCAAAATAAGTGAAACTAAGCTCAAAATTGTTAAAACATACCATTCACTTTCCTAATCTGATATATATATATATATAT